AACCATCAGTGGTGAGTGGCATCTCAACCATCAGTGGTGAGTGGCATCTCAACCATCAGTGGTGAGTGGCATCTCAACATCAGTGGTGAGTGGCATCTCAACCATCAGTAGTGAGTGGCATCTCAACCATCAGTGGTGAGTGGCATCCCAACTATCAGTGGTAAATGACATCTCAACCATCAGTGGTAAATGGCATCTCAAACATCAGTGGTGAGTGACATCTCAACATCAGTGGTGAGTGACATCTCAAACATCAGTGGTGAGTGACATCTCAAACATCAGTGGTGAGTGGCATCTCAAACATCAGTGGTGAGTGGCATCTCAACCATCAGTGGTGAGTGGCATCTCAACCATCAGTGGTGAGTGGCATCTCAACCATCAGGTGGTGAGTGACATCTCGACCCGTCAGTGGTGAGTGATATCTCAACCATCAGTAGTGAGTGGCATCTCAACCATCAGTGGTGAGTGACATCTCAACCATCAGTGGTGAGTGGCATCTCAACCATCAGTGGTGAGTGGCATCTCAACCATCAGTGGTGAGTGGCATCTCAACCATCAGTGGTGAGTGACATCTCGACCGTCAGTGGTGAGTGATATCTCAACCATCAGTGGTGAGTGGCATCTCAACCATCAGTGGTGAGTGACATCTCAACCATCAGTGGTGAGTGACATCTCAACCATCAGTGGTGAGTGGCATCTCCACCATCAGTGGTGAGTGACATCCCAACCATCAGTGGTGAGTGGCATCTCAACCATCAGTGGTGAGTGGCATCTCAACCATCAGTGGTGAGTGGCATCTCAACCATCAGTGGTGAGTGGCATCTCAACCATCAGTGGTGAGTGGCATCTCAACCATCAGTGGTGAGTGGAATCTCAACCATCAGTGGTGAGTGGCATCTCAACTATTAGTAGTGAGTGACATCTCAACCATCAGTAGTGAGTGACATCTCAACCATCAGTGGTGAGTGACATCTCAACCATCAGTGGTGAGTGGCATCTCAAACATCAGTGGTGAGTGGCATCTCAAACATCAGTGGTGAGTGACATCTCAACCATCAGTGGTGAGTGGCATCTCACCCATCAGTGGTGATTGACATCTCAGCCATCAGTGGTGAGTGGCATCTCAACCATCAGTAGTGAGTGACATCTCAATCATCAGTGGTTAGTGGCATCTCAACCATCAGTGGTGAGTGGCATCTCAACCATCAGTGGTGAGTGACATCCCAACCATCAGTGGTGAGTGGCATCCCAACTATCAGTGGTAAGTGACATCTCAACCATCAGTGGTGAGTGGCATCTCAACCATCAGTGGTGAGTGGCATCTCAACCATCAGTGGTGAGTGTCATCTCAACCATCAGTGGTGAGTGGCATCTCAACCATCAGTAGTGAGTGGCATCTCAACCATCAGTGGTGAGTGGCATCCCAACTAATCGTGGTAAATGACATCTCAACCATCAGTGGTAAGTGGCATCTCAAACATCAGTGGTGAGTGACATCTCAAACATCAGTGGTGAGTGACATCTCAAACATCAGTGGTGAGTGACATCTCAAACATCAGTGGTGAGTGGCATCTCAAACATCAGTGGTGAGTGGCATCTCAACCATCAGTGGTGAGTGGCATCTCAACCATCAGTGGTGAGTGGCATCTCAACCATCAGTGGTGAGTGACATCTCGACCGTCAGTGGTGAGTGATATCTCAACCATCAGTGGTGAGTGGCATCTCAACCATCAGTGGTGAGTGACATCTCAACCATCAGTGGTGAGTGACATCTCAACCATCAGTGGTGAGTGGCATCTCAACCATCAGTGGTGAGTGACATCCCAACCATCAGTGGTGAGTGGCATCTCAACCATCAGTGGTGAGTGGCATCTCAACCATCAGTGGTGAGTGGCATCTCAACCATCAGTGGTGAGTGGCATGTCAACCATCAGTGGTGAGTGGCATCTCAACCATCAGTGGTGAGTGGCATCTCAACCATCAGTGGTGAGTGGCATCTCAACCATCAGTAGTGAGTGGCATCTCAACCATCAGTGGTGAGTGGCATCCCAACTATCAGTGGTAAATGAGATCTCAACCATCAGTGGTAAGTGGCATCTCAAACATCAGTGGTGAGTGACATCTCAAACATCAGTGGTGAGTGACATCTCAAACATCAGTGGTGAGTGACATCTCAAACATCAGTGGTGAGTGGTATCTCAAACATCAGTGGTGAGTGGCATCTCAACCATCAGTGGTGAGTGGCATCTCAACCATCAGTGGTGAGTGGCATCTCAACCATCAGTGGTGAGTGACATCTCGACCATCAGTGGTGAGTGATATCTCAACCATCAGTAGTGAGTGGCATCTCAACCATCAGTGGTGAGTGACATCTCAACCATCAGTGGTGAGTGACATCTCAACCATCAGTGGTGAGTGGCATCTCAACCATCAGTGGTGAGTGACATCCCAACCATCAGTGGTGAGTGGCATCTCAACCATCAGTGGTGAGTGGCATCTCAACCATCAGTGGTGAGTGGCATCTCAACCATCAGTGGTGAGTGGCATCTCAACCATCAGTGGTGAGTGGCATCTCAACCATCAGTGGTGAGTCGAATCTCAACCATCAGTGGTGAGTGGCATCTCAACCATCAGTAGTGAGTGACATCTCAACCATCAGTGGTGAGTGACATCTCAACCATCAGTGGTGAGTGGCATCTCAAACATCAGTGGTGAGTGGCATCTCAAACATCAGTGGTGAGTGACATCTCAACCATCAGTGGTGAGTGGCATCTCACCCATCAGTGGTGATTGACATCTCAGCCATCAGTGGTGAGTGGCATCTCAACCATCAGTAGTGAGTGACATCTCAATCATCAGTGGTGAGTGGCATCTCAACCATCAGTGGTGAGTGGCATCTCAACCATCAGTGGTGAGTGACATCCCAACCATCAGTGGTGAGTGGCATCCCAACTATCAGTGGTAAGTGACATCTCAACCATCAGTGGTGAGTGGCATCTCAACCATCAGTGGTGAGTGGGATCTCAACCATCAGTGGTGAGTGGCATCTCAACCATCAGTGGTGAGTGGCATCTCAACCATCAGTAGTGAGTGGCATCTCAACCATCAGTGGTGAGTGGCATCTCAACCATCAGTGGTGAGTGGCATCTCAACCATCAGTGGTGAGTGGCATCTCAACCATCAGTGGTGAGTGGCATCTCAACCATCAGTGGTGAGTGGCATCTCAACCATCAGTGGTGAGTGGCATCTCAACCATCAGTGGTGAGTGGCATCTCAACCATCAGTGGTGAGTGGCATCTCAACCATCAGTGGTGAGTGGCATCTCAACCATCAGTGGTGAGTGGCATCTCAGCCATTGCAAGGCTGCGCCTATACTTTGCATGCAAACGATTTAGAAAATTTTACATTGACGATGGAAAAATAAAACATACCAACAAGGCAGAAGAAGTGGCGAAGCGAGACAGGAAGAGGTTGAGACAAATGCAATGGTGAATAACTGCTGACTGAATGAAATCACGATTCGATATTTGTGCCAATGCATCGCATTGCAGGGGGCGGAGAGGTCTCGGTGAAAGGATTTGGGTTGAGGCAGAACAGTGAGCTCCACCACGCTGACACCGCTTTCCGGCGCTGAAAATCCTAGTGATTTAATGTCTCACGCAACGAAGCAAAGCAAACACATCACTTGTATACAGCCTGAGCGTTCAGAATTCAGAACGTATAATTAACACACACGCAAAAAAAAACAACAGCAGAGCCAACGGAATAAAAAACAATATGTTTAGTTCGGGGCGTTGAGGAGTTAAAACGGGCAAATATTTATCATACTAACAACTCAAATGAATTTTCCGATGTTTTGCTTTTTATTATCCACATCTATATCCACTTGTGGGCGCCATGCTTGGATGGAAATGAAAAGAAGAAAAATGAAATTTAAAATTGGAGTTAGAGTGCTCACACTTGAAGTTATTGGCCAACGTGAGGCTTTGATTAATTTGTTCTGCCGCTGCTGCCGACGCTATACTCGATGTCTCCGAATGGAAAACATCGCAGACGACCTCACCGCAACGAGGCACCGATGGGATTAGCGCATTGTTGCTCACTGTCATCCCGCGATGACAATCAAGGTTCAGGGTCGCTCGTGCATGAACACTCGTCGACGGAGTTCGCCGGACACACACCAATGTAGGGCCTGCAGTGACTTGGGACTAAGCTGTTGGTGCTGCGAGTCTCTCTCACGTCTCTGTGCGACAAGCGTAATTGTTTACAGTTGCCGTGAACTTCGCTCCATGATTCCTCCACCCATGTTGGGGACTCGGGTCTGTTGTGTCGTCTCATTCACACCGTGTCCGACCACCACACGGCAGGCCACAACAACGCCCACTCATTCCCTAACTCACTCACCCACTCATTCGTTCACACACTCACGCAAACGCTCACCCACCTTGAATCACTGCACCTGAAATGAGTTAAATGATGACGTCACCCTGCTGCTCTATTTAAGACCGGGAGCAAGTGAGGGCTTTACCATTCTGGCGAATTGCCCGATGATGCTGGATGTAATTACCAGCGAAACGTCGTACTCAAACTGTAAATGTTGTGGATTCACTCTTCAACACACCGGTGGGCTAAAGTAGTGAATTATTTGTCTTTTGTCAACGTGACACTTTTTTTTGCTGATTGGCTGTGTCGGGTGGTGGAGGGTTACGACACATTTATAAATAACGCGATCTAACCCAAAAACCTTTATTATGAATAATATTTGTCGCGAAAGCCTACGTGTTAAACTGCTCACCCACGACACCGCAGATCACAACACTTTGCTTTCTGCTGATCTTCGAACCTAATTGTAATAATGCAGTGATTATGCTCTCAATAGTGCCGTTTGTTTAGGTCTTTGGGTACTGTGCTGATCAACTCTAATTAAACAGAATAATCAGCCTTCATCAATCCACGGATGGATGAAAGCCCCCCCCCACCCCCCCCCCCCCCCATGCCGTCGCAATCCCTCAAAGTCAACGGAATTTCGCAACCAAATTTTACGGGACAGAATACAAATTACAATTCACCTCCAAAAACATTATGGAGGCAGTCAAATTGTGTGTACACTGCAGTGCATTAAAAACTCTTCGGAGACATTTATTTTCCAGCTATGCCAGTTTAAAAGGGGTGAAATGTACAGATGGTTTTGGATTTCCAATGCATATAACCCGAACGAATCTATTTTCATCAGAAAATGATTTCCACGAAGGTCTTGCATAGGAAGTCACAGATTGTGCCTTGATGCACACGTATAATGGATGGAATTGAAATTGATTCTCAGAAGCGGGCCTGTTTAAAGTTGGCTTAATGTAAAGCTCCCCCATTTCACGTGCTTCACTGACTCTCAATCAATCTATTTCTTGGCTCTGCTCTTTCTGATTCTTTCCGTGCATCTTTGAAGGCAGCTAGAGGCGTTATTTATTTATTTATATGTTACATTCATGCCATGCACTTTGTACCGACTGGCTTCATGCGGCTTTTTATTACTTATCTCTCTCTTCTCTCTCCCTCTTTCTCCCCATTTGGAGAATAAAGAAAAGCGAATGTGATTGTCGCCCCATCATAAACGAGAGCATACAATTACGTAATGTAATCGTCATATAATGAACAAGTTGTAGCAAAGTGTGCGTGAGGGACACACGGATAACCGGAGCAATTCATGCGATATTTGCGGGTACGACGATTAATTGTGTGTTTTTGAATGCACCTGAGCCCATTCAGCATTCCGACGTGTGCTGTTGGTTATGATTCTTGATTCCGCGTTTGTATTTGTTACCGTGGATACCTGTTCTGCTGTGTGCGATGTTTTTTTGTTCTCTTTAGCCAGGTCAGTCCCCAGCTGATTGTGCACTTTGGAGCTTCCACACCGCACAATCCTGGATGAGGGACGCCGTGGTGGTGGTGGCGTCATGGATAAGCGCGCTGGACTTGCAATCCGCAGGTCGCTGGGTCAATGTCCATGCGTGGCAGTCCAAGTAATGAGATCGCGTCTTGTTCGTCACCCCAAATTCTGTCCACCCAGCAGCATGAATGGGGGTCTCCGCACTCTGCCGCAACCTGCGATGCACACGGTTGGCTACGTACGGTGCAAAAGAAGTTCAACATGCATACACACACACTTCAATATTACCTTATGTCTTTCCCAGACATAATTCCACATCACCTTCCATATCACCTTGTAAAACTAGAGAAAAAATAATTTATTTAGAACTGCATTTTGTGTTTAGTTTGTCGTCCATTCCCCAAACATCCGATTAGCACGGTTGGCTACGTAGGGTGTGGAAAAAGTTCAGCATAACATACATCCACATCACCTTCTGTCTCCTCTACTCCCTCTGCCCTGCTAGTTGAACCTACTTCGTCTCTGCTCACACACACGCCTAAACCATTGAAGTCCAGCCTCCCTGGCCTTCTTCAGAGTACCCCTGTTAAGGGGTGACGAATTAAGATCTGATTTAATTGGATCTTGCCGGCTTAGCAAAGTTGAGCCTGGTTAGTACTTTGATATTAAATTTTCTGAATATGCAGCACACGGTGTTGGAGGCTTGGGCCGTATGATGGCCAGTACATTGCAGTAGATTCTTGATTCTTGAATCTATCTGTGGAGATCTCTATGTCTTACCACTTAAAATGTTTGGTTTTATTTTTATCTATTTTTTTTGCTAACCTTTCCTATTATATTCTTGGTTCTTTCGGTAAAGTCACGTAGAAGGGAAACAATAAAATAATAAAAATATAAAAAAATCATTTATTTTATTGTTTCCCTTATACGTGACTTTACCGAAAGAACCAAGAATATGAATCCCTGCAGTCACAAAAGCTTTAAATAAAAATGTAACCTTTCCTATTCTTTGCACCCCTAACCTGTTGTAGTGTTTATTGCTGTAGCGTTCTGACCCGCCCCGAATGGATATCTGTGGAGAAAGAGCTTTATAGGTCATTGTATTCCTCCTACAGTAGAACTAAAGATTATGATTCTGATTCTTCCAAAGCGTGGCGTGTTTTCACGAGGTACCGCGGTTTCTACCCTGCGAGTCCAATCGAATTACCAAGCATACCAGTACAGGTCCCGACTGAAATGTCGACTTCAGATTCGGTGACGCTTTCCTGAACGGTATAGAGAGCATTATTATAGTGCAATTAATAAAATATGTGACGATGCCTGATGCAAAATAAAAAGTGTGTTTTTTTACATTTTCTTGTTTCTATTAAATTCTATTTCAAATTGATTCTGTAGCAAATGAAATGCATTTGATGTTTTAATTAAAACGTGTGATTTTAGCTGAACATTTAATTAAAATGTGTTGTGTTACGAGAATTAGTTGTCATTTTTAAAAACACACACACAATTGAACCAAGTTGGGGTTTATCTTGGTTTGGGGTGAAAGTAGACCCAGTTTAAAATTCAGCGGAGTCAAATTTCGAGCACTAGAATGAGATACATAGCCATTGCATCAACATTCTTGACTGAAATTTCCCCATAATTGACACTGATTTACATTGCAAACTAATCGGCAATATCACTGCAGCCCAGCGGTTCTCGGGACCACCAGGGGTCCGTGACACTCCTGCAGGTGGTCCACGGGGGCTGTGAAGCAAACGCAGGTTGCGTCAGGACAATAATGACAATGTTTATATAAAGATTTGTTTCGGATATTAATTAACATTTGACTTCATTTGAAAATGAAGTTAGGTAAAATACCCTGATTAAACTACCCTAACCCGAAGATCTAAATGCCCACACTCCTAAAGAAAAAATAAAATAACAGCTGCGTTTAATAAAAAAAATTGTTTGTATGTTCCGATAATACGAATCATGTTGTATTGCTGGCATTTAGAGAGATAAGCGATTGCGTTTTGTCACCAGGGCTAGGGGGGGGGGGGTGCTGGGTGGTGGTCCACAGAAATGTTTGCATCGACTGAGCATCCCGTGGGCCAAAACAATTTTGAGAAACACAAAATCGCTTTAAATATTTTAACGAAGCTTGGGCACGGAGTTGCGGTAGCGTCACCAACCCCCCCTCCCCCCACCTCTTGCGGCCTTGGCGCTCGCTGTGACCACGAGACGCTAGGAGAGTCGCGAGCCGGGCGACCGCGGTGTGCGTGTGCATTTGTGAATATTTGCATGCACTCGAGTGTGCAGCGGTTGGGTGTCCCCGCTACCCCCCCCCCCCCCCCACGTGTGAGTATGCCGGTGCGTGCAAACAGTGGGGTGCATTTTGGTATTTACGGAGCGTACAAGACGAGACCGCGTCTGAAAAATAAACGCTGTACAAAATGAGAGGACATGCAAATTGGGGCAATTTGATGGGGGTATTATTTTTTTTTTATTTTCGGGGTAGGGGTTGGTGGGAGGGGAGGCGTGTGAATGAAAAGTATAAGGCGACTGGGGCAGGCGAGGGAAGAAGGCACGGTAGAGATGCAAATGAAGTCAATTTAAGAGACAGAGAGAGAGAGGCATAGGCAGAGAAGAAGGGAATGGTGTTGTGCCTGGAAGGGTCTGGGCAGTGTGGACTGCACGTGTGTGTGTGTGATCATCTATGCACATATATAGGTGGGGGGTGGTAGTGTAACGGTTAGCGCGCTGAACTACGAACCCGGCGACCCGCTTACGGCCACCAACACCAATGACGATTATCTAAACCGGTCCTGGGCCTCCCCTAGGTCGACTCAGCCTCAAATTAATACCTGGTGCGGTGTAGTAAACACCGCTACCGATGAGAGAAAGGTCGCCGGGCGTGGTGTTGGCCACCCACTCCCTCGTGCACCGTTCCGCCCATCATAGGTGCTCGCTAACAATGCTTGCCACAACAGTCTGTGAAGGCTTTACGGGGAATGTTTGGCCTTGTTTGTGTATACACAGGACCGTAGTGCAATACGATTGTATTAATCGTGCACAAGCTTGCATGAGCTCAGGCTTTGCGAAGCCAAGCTGGTACTGGCTACAGCGATACTGTGTACACCATGTACATATGTTTGTTGAACTTCTTCTGCACCGCACGTCACTCACCGTCCTCATCGGAGGTGCAGAAGGCTGTAACACTGATATAATGCAAGTAACACTTAACTAATGCCATTCCATGTAAACCATTGTTTCTATGACTCCTCCACCATGAGGTGATCTGCAGTCCGTCCTATTTCTATTGGAATATCCGGACATAGTCCAACTGGAATTAGATGCAGTGTGGAAACAGAAGTAATCCACCAGTGGCAAGACAAGAGCTGATGCTGATGATTTGTCTCACAATCCTGTGTTTGTGAAACTGTTCAAAGGAAATCCACGCAACCTGCTACCAGGATGCTACCTAAGGCAGCGCTGGTGATGCCGTGTTGGTAAACTGAAGGGCATGATATTCTTGGTTCTTTCGGTAAAGTCACGTAGAAGGGAAACAATAAAATAATAAAAATATAAAACAATAAAATTCTCACGACGTTTCGACTGCAACACAAGAAATCATCATCAGGTGTGAAAACCACAACGAGAAATTATGAAAAAAAGTGGCGGTTATTTTTAACGTTAGCACCACGGAGAGAGATTTGACAGTTTGTTCAGTTGGACGAGTCCATCTATGTTCGGAAAAGAGGAGGGGAGAGACGAAAAATAATGGATGAATTGTGAAGGACAACAACAACTCTCAAGCACGATGAGGTTTTCTGTCAGTACTCATATTGTAGATGTTGTGGGTGTATTCTCCAACACACCGGTGTGCTGTACTAGTAACGAATTGGCAAGTTTAGTTTACGTGACAAACCTTACTCATTGGCTGTGTCGGGGGGGCGGCGGGTTTAGCGACACATTTATATTTATGCGATCTAACCCAAAAACCTCTATTAAGCACACTTATTAAAACTTCTATTCGAGAAATCCCAGAACCATTGCTACCAACCCCCAACCAAATCAGCAGTGTGAACAGGCGTCACGCACTTTACAAACTTGCTTTTTCTCCACTCTCTTAGCTGATTATAATTGAATTGTAATTGGTTGTGTTAGTTCGCAAAAACAAGGGGATGCTTTGGCTCACACTGCTGTGCCTCTTGGCTCTGCGAGATGCCACCAACTGCCAACTTCCAAGTTACTGAACCTTGTCTTTTAATTTTCGAAGCCAACATGTTACACCAGTATTCGTGCTCGTGCAGATGCCAATGCATTTCTGTTTTGCCAAGTGTATAAATGTAGTATTATTATTTTTACTTGCCATGCTTTCCGTGTCGGCCAAAAAAATGGTAATGGCAAAGAGGACCTAAGCTTGATGTCAATACGCAAATAAAGGGAGAAACTCCACGCTGTGTCTCTCCGTGTAGATAACAATATTACCCAGCAGCAATTGTTTAAGCAAGCGAATTCTGGAATGCTTTCTACCTTCTGGGTCTCATCAGCAGTCGGGTTTGTTAAACGGATGTTGCTGGGTTACCAGATGTTTATGTTGGCTAGATCCCTCCGTATAAAATACGGGAGCCCGTTCAATGCAAAGAGCAATGCAAAGGGCGATTCCGTACACAAACTCAGCTCGACGTTAGATCATTTGAATGCCCCAACTACCGTATCGCTTGACTGCTTGTCCGCTACAGATTGTTACAGATTACACCGACACAAACACCTCCCCGCCCCCCTCCGCCACCACTGCGATAAGACGCTAGGCATAGAGGAGCTCCCAAGTACGCTGTGACATTGCCAAAATGCCGTGCGCGCCGCGCGTGCCGCACAATTCCTGGCCTCAATCGCAAAGGGGGTCAGGTCACCTTGGCCACAATCCATGCGCGGAAGTATTATACGGCAGATCAATGGGCCAGGCAAAACCCACTTACAAATATGAACCGTGAAGGCTAAACCCGGGGGTTAACGAAAAAAAGTTAGGGTTTTCACAAAATTATTGCTATATTAAACCAGACATCCATTGTGATGAAACAGAAGATTTAATATTTATAATTTACAACGCGCACGGCATTACATTGTCTGGATCGGTTTTTAAGGCTTCATTGATTTGGCAGAAAGCTGTTACAACTGCTTCGTCAGGCAGGTGGCACGGCCAATTACAGCTGCCGTGCAGTGATTGTCTCGCACTTTTGCCCAACGCT